TCACTCTGCCTCCTTAGTCTCCTTCTGCATTTGCACTAATTATTCCTCCTCCATTTTCCTCTGTTTTCCAATTGTAAGCAAATAGTGGCCGTGGAAGACCAGTATTAAGTCCTCCTCCGTCTGGTGATGTTTCTCTAGTGCCCTGGCAAATAATGTGCAATCCAGCAGAAAGATGAAGGGGGTGGTGTACTGTATCCCTGCTTATTACCAGCTCACCACTTTTGTAGCCTTTTCAAAGGGGAACAAAATAGAGCAGGCATCTTGGATCATCTGCCATTGCCAATGGGGATAAAAAACTAAGCTCCCCATAGCAAGTTCTTGTCTCATATTCGCAAAGGTAGTTTTGCTGATACAGCCTCTGCAGCGCATGCAGCTGGTTTTGTTGCTGCATTTCAGACTGGCAGACTGAGGCAAATCAAGCTGGCCCTGTGTAGCAGGTTTTGTAATCCTGGGTACTTTCTTTGGGAGCAAGTGCCTTTTAGGTGCGTCTGTGTAGTAGGAATTAGACTCTCTCTCAATTTCCATGTGACGGGAAACTCTGGCTGTCCCCATAGAAAGACTAGTGACTGACTGAGCTTGCACTCATTAACATACAATGCTCCTATATCTCTAACCCTTTGTTAGGACAGACACTGTTCAAATCTAGTTTACAACTTATAATGAGATCTGCTTGCACAGTACAGAGTTAACAATTATGTTAACTTTAACCTGGCTGGCCTCTCTTGTATTCCAGAGCAAAGCACAGTACAGGAAACATCTTTTCTTTCAGACTAGAGCTTCCATCGTGCAAGCAGCAATAAAAAAAAACAACTTATGCTGTGCGAATGAGGAACATGTGACAAATATAAAATAGGTGTTATCCAAATTTTGCTGCAAAAGTGAAAATACACATTAAGATATGGGCATGGCAAGACATGTGTATGATTTGCCCCAGATGAAGGGTAACATAAAGTTCATGCAGATATCACACACTACCTTGCCTTGCCTGGCTACAGGTGCTCAACTTAATTCTAGAGAGCCAAGATCAACTTTAGCACAGTGTGGCTTTTGTCCCCAAGCAGATGAGCTGAAGCACTGCATTGTATTATTTGGCTTGAGAGGCCACATAGGTCTTTGAGAAGGCCTGGTGGTGAAATGGGGACAGTGGTGTTGGGGTCAGCTGGAGTAGGTCTCACAAGAAAAAAAAATGATGAGGAGGAGGGAGTAGAGGCTACAGAGCTGGCAGCATCTCACACCAAATGAGGCAGCACCACAAACGCTAGTGACATCCCCCATTTTCCATTCTTCCCAGTTTTGATGGTCATGTTCATCGTGCCTCTGACAGCAGCATGGTCCAGTGACAGGAAAGGCACAGCCCTGGCAAGTGGGTGTGACCAATTAAAAAGTGGGTGTGGTCATATAGATGTAGTTTAAACATATACCTGCAGCAGCTTTGATAAGAATCAGACCTGACCCTGGAAAATGTATCATACTATCATACTAAGGACAAAACTGAGGACATACTAAGGACAAAAACACAGCCAAGAAGGTATTGTTTGTTAATAGACATGTATGTATTTTCTTTGCTTACTTTAGTCTGTACAGTTTATTTAAAGTGTGGCAACCTAACAGCTCCTGCAGAGAATACTGTGCTGAACAACAATTACACTGCAAACACATTTGGCATAAACTATTCATAGAATATTACTTGGTAGCAGAATATCACCGCCGGAAAACTGGGCGGGATTACGTTAAAACGTGTGACCACGTCACCGGTCACACATTCTAACGTAGGCACAACCTTGTGATAGAACACCGCCATCTGGAGGGTATGGACGTTACCCATGTGAGGGGTCTGGGGGCCTCTTACATGGGTATCAACTGTACCGGGGCGGCATTGGCAGAGGTGACAGGGGAGGGGGTGGAGGAGGCCGGGCCCCAGCAGCAGCAGGTAAGAAGAGTTGAGAGGAGGTACAGGGAAAGGGATCCCGACGACCAGAACAGCACACCTGGGACCCTGCAGAGCCCACCATAGAGAGTCTCAGGTGGCTATGCAGGATCTATGGTGTGCTCTGCAGGGTCTCAGGTAAGTCCAACACGCTACTGCGACATTAGAGATCGCTGGGGGGAGGGGACGGGGGCCAGTGGGATCTGCTCCCATGTCCTCCGTCTTGGGAGGGGGCCCAAGATAAAATCTTGCACCAGGGCCCTTTGGTTATTAGGTCCGCCACTGGGTATAGTCAACAGATCGACTGTTTCTTTGTCTATGGTTCAACATCCTAGAGGCAGGAACTATACCCTGGTGTCCAAGACTGTGTCCCCAATGAACTCCAGCAGAAAAGGATTTTTAAAAAAAATCTCTTCATTGCCTGGTTGTCTCCGGTATTAGTACATTCTGAGTCACTAACCTGGAACAAGCGTGCAGCTAGAGAAGTGAGAGAAAAGTCAGTTAATCAAATTTTTAAGCCTTTGGCTCAGTATAACAGCCAGCAAGCTAGGGTTTTCAAAAGAATATTCTGAAGTTGGCCCAGTGGCGTCTTGAGTTGGCCGCACATGTTTTTACCTAGTACTGGTTTCCTATCCTATGAGGTGAGGCATCATTTGTTGAACATTAGCACTTTTACTGATGCTGAATTTTTAAATGGACACTATTCATTTTGCAGCATATGTTTAGACTCTGCATTATGCAGCACAAAACAGGCTGCTAATGCTCCTATAATGTGTACAATATGTGTTTTCACTAGATGAATAAAAGCAAGAATTAAGACTTGGTGGATTAATCATAACAGTAAGGAATGCAAATGTAATTATTTTGGAGGCAAACAAAAGCTTGTGTTCATGTTTACAGACAGAGAACTACCAACTCTTAATAAATATATATTTTCTTTTTTTTTTCTATTAAAAATTGACTATTTTGTTCATGTAGCACAAAGCTTTGATTAACCAGTTTTTTTGCCAGTGTTGTCTAGAATACAAACTGAGATATACAAGAAATATTGTGCTTTATAGTGGTGCTGTACCAGTATTTTTATCCGGTACACATAAGCCCCTATGAATCAAGTGGGATAAAAAAAGCTTGCTTTCTCTCTTGCTCTGTCTCATTGCTCTAGTTCTCCCTATCTCTTCTCTCACCTGTATAATTTCTTTATGTAAAGACAGCATTTTATACTGGGGGAGGGAGCTGCACAAAGGAGAAGAGGACTTGATAAACAGAAATGTCAGAATGAGAGTCAAAGGAATGCAAAATGGAATAAATCACTGTGTAAGCAAACAAATCCTCTGTGATACATTCTACATATCCACGGTTGTTCTGTTACTGACAATCCTATGCCAGCCTTTTGCAGCCATGGATTGGTATTTACAAATGCCCTATTCAGCTCCTATGCTACACACACAGTCTTAAATGTGTTGGAAAACACTTTGTTTTGTGAACATGCATGCGGTTTTTGCATTTTGCATTTAATCCTTTTTATGTAATTTATTTTAATGCGTTTTGGGTTGTTGATGTACTTTGCTAATGGTCCCAAAATGTAGGCTACAAAAAAGTTATAAACTGTGTCACTCCTTTTCATACTACTTAGATGCAAATACAGCCAATGCGATAAGTACATGTGTGTGTTTTTTTTAATAGTTAAGTTGCACTACTAAAATTGCTATTAATTAACTGATGAGAATAGTGATT